AAAAATTTCTACCAAACACCATTAATCATGGTTGAATCGTGGTTTAGGTGTCACAAAAAAATAAAGGAGTAAAATTAAATTTCCCCTCCCTTTTTGTCGAGGTCAGAATGTGTGAATCACACTTCGACTATGGTTGACAATTTTTGGATGGAAATCTTAATAGAAGTATATGTTTGATAATTTTTTTAAAGTAGAAAAGTATATTTCATGCAAAAAATAACAGAGCGCTATGTTTGATAAAAATGCATTATCCCAGGCTCTTATAAAAAACAACGCTAGGTCCATCATACCCGTAGAGCGTAATGAGGGTTAAAACGGTTTTCTTTTAACAGAAGGATCCACCAAAATGCAAAGAGGTTTAATAAGTTTTTTTGAACCTGTATGAAGTTCGGGTCCTGGGTTTATGGATATGAATGACTGGTTTGACCCGGCTATGATATCTCTCCCTATTCCTTTTTACCTTTCTTTTTGGGTAAATACAATATATTAGCCACAACTATTATGAAACGGTGAATTATAGCCACAACTATGAAAATTCAAATTATTAGCCATAACTATTGTTGCGGGTTAAGATATGGCTAACTGTCCATTACTGTTATTGAATTTTTAATGGAGAAGGCCACGTCATCTACCACAACAGCAGGCACGTCGAACTGCTTTTAATTTATAACTTTAAAACATAAAAGTTTAGTCAGTATTACTAACGGAATTGTTAACAGATAGTTAACGTTTGGCTAATAATTTGAATTTCCATAGTTGTGGCAATAGTTCCCCACTTCATAATAGTTGTGGCTAATATATTGTATTGACCCTTTCTTTTTCTATAACAAATAAATATTCTGTTATGCTATTAGGCTTTATTAGTACAACTAGCAAAAAGCCCGACCTATTGGTCGGAAAGTTGGATTGTTATATGATTTGTATGTGTTATTCACACTGATGATGTATGTTTTGTTTGGTATTTGGCTATGAACTATCTAGACAAATACTCTAAATACTCCGAGTATGCTTAGGACGTATTGAAAACATGAGAAAGACAAAATGACTAACAACAAAATGCAACCAATATCGACATATATGTTTACAAATAAAGTGTTGCCTACATAAAATGTTCATAAATGACAACATGAGAGTTGCTTTTCCTATGATACATACATATTCTAATTTCCCCATAAAAAATGATTGTCCTTTGATGGAGTTGAATGTATACATGAAGTCCCCCCCCACCCCCCACCCACCAATTTTTATCTTTTTTGTATGACACGAAATGAAACCAATATCGACATATAGGTTTACAAATAAAGTGTTGCCTATACAAAATGTCTATAAATGAGAACATGAGAGTTGCTTCCTACGATACATACATATTCTATTTTCACCATAAAAGAAAATGGCTGTCATTTGATGGAGTTCAATGTATCTTATGTTGATCATTACATAAATTACATATTGATATTATACGATTTGAATGAGAGAGGTCATGTAGTGAGGAACATGGTTTAATAGATCAAATAACTACTCCATACACCTCACATTAGAATGGAATGACACAAAACATGGAGTTCTTTCTAATATGGTAAATGTTATGTTGATTAACGCTAGTTCTCCAATCAACCTTTTGAGTGAGGGTTTGCTGACAATCTGGCATGTACAAAATATAATTCTGTCTAAGAAGCTAAAGGTTCTCCCTACGAGTTGTGGAAGGGAAGGAAACCTAACTTAATCTATCTTACAACTTTAAGGTGTCTTTCTTTCTTTAGAATCTCAGATCCTAAGAGATTTCAGTTGTCCTCGAGTTTTGAAAGTTTTTTTGTTCGATGTTGAAAACTTGAAAGTGTATCGGGTTCTAGATTTAGAAACTAATGTTATCGTGAAATTAAGGGATGTCGAGTTCTTTGAGAATATGTTCATACGTGATTATACAAGTGTAAGACCAAGTCATTACATCTATGCATTCTCCAAGTGATTCAATCTCTATTCCCAACTTTGACACTTGTGTCATAGTTAAAGGTCTTTAGATTATCCTGTTACTATTGAAATGAGACGAAGAAAAAGAACTAGGAAGTAGGAAAGAAAAGTTTTTCTATTTAGAGTTAAATTATCCTCAAGTTATAGTCTTCATTGTAGAGGAAGATAGTTAAATAAGGTTACAATAAAGATACCTATTTTGATCAATGTGCAAGATGATCCGAAATCTTATCAAAATACGATGGCTTCCTGATCATGCTTGTGCGCGATCGAGATTTATAAGTCGATGCACACTCTCTAGTCAATCCTAACTAAGCCAAGTATAACATAGCTATGATTGTAGTAAAGTGGCTCGGTCGTATTTCAAGGGATTCCTAAGTTTATTATTACTTCTCTTCGAACTACTATCTAATTGGGTTTAGTGAGGTGTTTGAACTAATTTAACCTACTCCTAATGCAAAATAAACAATCAACCAAGTGGTTGGGAGATCGCTAGAGGTGAGACGGTTGCCTAGGGTCGAATCCTCCTAGTTACGGTTGTCAAGTAGGGTTGGTCAAATTTGGTGAGTGAGCTCTTTTCCGTGGGCTTTCGTGGTTATCCACACGCCTCCCCTAAACCCATATATAGTCCCCTAGGCTATCGTATATGGGGCACTAAGCTCATGGCTCATTTCAATGGACACTATCTATAGTTCACACCGAGGTTTTATCCTGGGTTCTATCTAGGAAGGCTTCCTATAGCAGAGGTTCGGTCGCCTTGACCAATATAGGCCGCTATTCATATATCTAACCTCAATTTGCTTGATGGCGCATACCCGCCTAACTCTAAATCTCCAAACCCATCGTAGAAGCGTAAAGTAGGCTAGTAGAGAAGATTAAGGCAACTTACCCAAACACAATCAAAGCTAGAATAACAAGAAAATCAACTAGATAAACACATTCATTCATAAACCCATTCATACACAACCTATAAACTAGGGTTCATCTTCCCTAACCAACCATATGATCTTTCTAAAACACTCCAAAATGCTAACTTTCTCACTCTAAGGCGGCTCTCCTTTGAAAGATGCAGAAATTGGAGTATTTATAGGCTGCTGGCAGTGGTTACGCCCCTCTCTAAGCTGGAACATCCTCGGATCGCCCGAAATGATGCATTTAGATTCCATCTTTAAGCTCCGAGATCGCAGCCTCTTTCACAAGATCGCATTCGCGATCATTGTGTCCCGGGCGCGATCTTTCTTCGCGGTCAAAATACACCATGCCTACGATTCCACCGAGGAAACTTTCTGCCTTCTTTTTGGTCGCCTTCTGCAGTTCACAACCACTGTTTACGACCACGATCTTCAGGCCGCGAACATGGTTACGACCGTGATGTGTGGCCGTGAGCAGTGCATCTTCTCCCCTTCTTGCTCATATGCTTCCCAGTCGTGTTCGGATGAACTTCATTCGATTCCCAATCAATCCCGAATGCATATAAGACCTGGAATTTCATCACAAACACTTGGGAAAGCATAAAATACGATAAAGTGGGGGAGATTCCCCGATGAAAACCTTCATATCATGAATACCTATTCCAAAATGTATGTTTTGCCAATAGGAACGAATATGAGCATAAATAACTTGATATGTGGCTTAGACACGATGAATTAGCATGCAAATGCCTTGAGAATAGAGGCTAAATAAAACCTATTTTAGGTGTTATCACTTTCAGAGATTTTTATTTTTTGAATGAGGCCAATGACGATATTGATTCCTTTATGACCTATAAGACCTGGATTCATGTGGTTCTGCCTTAAGGATTTATATCCATTGGAATTAAATGGGTATTTTGGAATAAGTATAACACTGATGGATCAATAATCCATACTTTCCAAGCAAGATTTGTTGCAACAGGTCTGAGTAGGCGACATTGACACTTATGTACCTGTTGCAAGAATCATTTTCATAATATTGCTCTTAGCTTTAGCTCATATTTATAATCTATTTGTACACCAAATGGATGTTAAGATGTCATATTTAAATGACGAATTAAATGAAGAAGTATATGTGGAGCAACTAGAATGGTTCATATTGCTTGGAAATGAAAGAAAGACGTGTATGCTTAAGTCTTCGTATGATCTAACTTCAAAGACAAGTGCATTTATTCAAACTGCACAAAAGAGTATGTAGTCATTATATGACTTTATGTGGATGATATGTTAATAATAGGAACTAACATGAAGAGTATAATTTACACTAAAAAGTATCTAACTTTTTCAAATGAAAGATCTTAAAGAAGCTTATACTATTTTATGCATTAGAGTAAAGAAACATAGTAGGGTCTTTGCTTTGTCTGTCATATTATGTCGAGAAGGTGCTCAAGAAACTTGAGAATTTGGAAATAATAGAAACCAACAACCATTATGATGCTTCTTGTATACTTTGAGAGAATGAGGGAAGTGCAGCTGCACAAGTTGAATATTCTAGTGTTATAGGAAGTTTGATGTATGCTATGGGTTGAACGTGAGAAGATATTGCATTTGTTGGATGCAAAAGTTCTATATTCACTAGAAGAACCTAAGATTTATGACTTTTATATAAACTTTCCTAATGTGTTAGAAGTTTTTTCTGATGCTAGTTGGATCGAACACTAGTGATAATAAATCTGGAATGAGATGAATTTTTACAATAGGTGGTAGGGTTGTTTTTTGGGCTTAAAAAAAAATCTTTTAACTTTATTTAAGGAGTTTTCGCTTATACATAAGGTTTATGACTGAAGGGTTTTTTTTGGTAAATATAGTGACCGAGCGGTTTAGACGTTTATTGATATACCTATTTACTAGTAACAAATAGTAAAATTGTAAGTTATTGTTCTCACTTCTTTCTTTCATCCATCATACATCTCTCTGCATATTTTTTCCGTCTCCAAGATCATTCCTTTGCCTAACAACCATCTCCCTCATTTTTGTAAATGAAGCTTCCATCGTTTTCTTTAATTCTAAAACAAAAACAAAAATTCCCTTAATTTCCCTCTCTCGTCCAATCTTCTCTATCTTATTGATCAATCTCTCTTAATTATCTCTGCCTGCCTGGTGATCATAACCCTTTCCCTCCAAACTCTTAGCGATTGGTCGAGATTTAGAAACTTTTGTGTATTTTTTTGTCGGAGCTTCCAATTAAGCACCTCTATGTTTCTTCTATCCCTCTTTTCATTGAGAAGCACGTTATCCCTTGTACCTTAATTGTTTCATCTTTGCAAGTGGAAGAAGAAACCCTCCCCAACCCCCTGCCCAGTCCTCTCCCATGGCTAAGGTGATCCTAATCAAAATTTCTGACCTTCCTTGTTTGTATTAATTGTTGCGCCACCTTCGACTCATGAAGATCGAAAATACAAACATCGAATCACAGCAAAATTTTGTGTTCCCGGCCTTCAGTGGCGGAACCACCTTATCGCCAGGAGGGGCTATAACCCCCTCTCAACTCTCAAAATCGTGTAAATCTACGTGTAAATTTTGTAACAAGCTTAGAAAATAGATTAGGTTGTAAGGCTTTAGCCCCCCCCCCCCCCTCTCCAGCTCAAACATCTTGAACGTAAATTTTAACCTCCAATCGTTCAGATTTCTGGCTCCACCATTGGCGGCCTTTATTACCATGCACATGCATGCATTTCTCTTTTGCTTAAATTTGTTCTTATTCTTAATTATCTTGGGGTATTCATTTTTCCCTGACCTCTATCCTTAGTGTTAATTTTATGATCAATTAATATGCAGGCAGCAGGAGCACAGGCATCAGAGGCAGGGAAGGACGAAGGAGCACCGTTGCCAAAATTCGGGGAGTGGGATGTGAATAACCCAGCCTCAGCTGAAGGCTTCACAGTCATATTCAACAAGGCAAGAAACGAGAAGAAGACAAAGGCTGGTCCTGTCAAAATTAATTCCCAAAATGCTAACAATAATGAATCTCCTACATTCAACAAAAATCAACCTTATCAACCTCCCGAATCTTCTCGCAAGGTATACCTTCTACTATACATATGGGACCTCCTACTCTAATTTGATTTTTTTCTTCTTACGTTAGATGACTTGATTTTTCCAAAGAAATATAATGGATTAAAATGTATAAAATATGAACATTGTCATGGATTTTTTCAATTAACGTTATTTTACAACTATTACATAAAATACAAATATCAAAGAAGACAACTAGTTTTTGTGTAACCATTAAATTATACGTGTTACATAATTTTATTTTGTAATGATTCAACACTTTGCACAATAGGAGGTTAATATTGATTATAAAAAAGATCATTAGCTATGTAAGATTTATGTATATTCATTTTACAACTTTTACAGAAGATAGAATACGTTACGTAAAGATTATTTAATAATAGTTATAATTTATTAAGTAATAGTTAAACCAAACATGTTGTGTAAGACTTTCATAAATACTAAAATTAATGTAATTTGATGCTAATCTTCATTAGAAAAATATCATCCATTACACAAGGCTTACATAAACAAATTTCACAATTATTAAGCAAGATACACATAAATTACGTAGAGATTACGGAACAATAATTCTTTTTACAACGATGAAATAATTTTTTTTATTGTTACATGTTGCTTAATGGATTTTAACCTCGAATCTCTAGATCAGAATGATAATTCTTTCTAACGCAACTGTTTAACAAAGTTATTACAGAAGGCTACATAATTTCTTTGTAGTTCATGAAACATAGTGTTTAATAATACTTAACTAAGATACATATATGATACATAGATATTGCATAATGCAATCGTAATTCACCTTACTTCAAGGTATTATAGAAATTTCCTATATATAGTAAAGACTAGCGTACCCCTGGAGTATGCGGCAACTTTGGTAATTTGGTCATTTGATTTTCTGTGTCGTATTTTGTCAAATAAGAATTGTTAGATTATTATTTTAGACCAAATTGAGTTTATGGTAAGTGTTTAAGGAGTTAGGAACTAAGGTTTATCCATTATACATTAGAACATAGTACCATACTCTAAACTCATGTTAATTCATGGTTTAGAACTCACCACTTCACTATTAATATCAGAGTATTGAATATCTAGGAGTAAGCTAGCATGACATGTATATATGTAAGTTGTTATCTTTAGTTCACTCACTTTTTCGGGTAATATTATGTACTCGTCTTATAATCATAATTTGAATGATTAATTCATGTCAACAATCTTAATCTCTAATTATACTATAAATATAAAAACAAATTAATGAAATTATATTGCATGGAAATTATTTTTGATTTACTTGTATTTGAAGGGTTTAAGGTTTAGCTGTTTCGGTTGAGGGTTTGTAGCTCAATGTTATATCATCCTAACATAAATTTGAAATTTGATAATGAAATTATTACTTTAAAACTTGGGTGCATAATTTGCACTCATTTAAAATTTGAGGACCTATGCATGGGTGCATGATTGAAGGTTAGTGTACTCCTAGAGTATAGAGGTGAAAAAATTAGGACATAAGGTTTAGGTTACAGTACCATGCCTTCAAATCTGATTAGTTCAAGCTTTTATTTTCCTAATAAAGCTATGTAGTATGCCCAGATTCACCAAGGTACTGAAAACTTCCCATACACACACGCACATATGTGTGGAAACCAATGCTATATTATTGGAGTATATTGTACTTTAGGTGATCTGCTCGTTAGATGTATTTCATTGTATTTTGACAAATCAAAATCTTCAATCATTAATTTTTTTAATTAATTTGATCTTCATTTTTGGGTTTAGAGAAGCGAGGGCATGAGGTTTATCTATTAGAGGTTAGGGATATATCGCTAGCAGTATCCAAAGTGTGGAGCATGATACAATACCCTAACTTCTATTGAGTGAACCTCATTACATAATTTTTTAAACACAAACCACGATAACAATTATTCAAAATAGTAACCGGCGATTTTGATTCCAAAGAAGCATATCTAATAGGTGTGAGTGCATGCACATATTATACACCAAGGGTACCCTAGCATTTCTCATATATATGGCTCTAGCTAGCGTACGTCTGGCGCATGCTAACCTTACTGTACGCCTAATGAGTTTTGCTATTTGAACCATGATGAATCAAAATTTGGGACACGATACTATTTTCCAACCTCTACTGGACAAACATCAGTCCATAATTTCTAAACCCAAACCATATGGTCTATTTAATCAAAATAATCATAGCCGACTGTTCAGAAATATCGAAGTACAACTAATATATGTGAACACTGCTGTATATTATATGCTAGGTGTACGCTAGATAGTGTAATGTCCCAAAATCCTATTAATTCAAGTTGTATATAGTATTTTTTACTTGCGAAATCTTAGTTTTATCCAAAATACGAAGCCAATATATATGGGTAGTTTAAACTTTTATATGAACACATCATCTAAACTAGTTACTTTAAATGTTGGAACAATTATTAAAATTCCTCTCTTCCTCATAAGATGATAATGCTGTCTTGCAGAACAAGTGGCTTTGCTGTGGTTGAGAAATCTGCTTGCAGTTCAAGCATGGTATGCGGATCAGAGCTCAGAAGTGAATGTATAGAAGCTGTACGCGGACGAAGCAGTTAGGTCAACTAATTAATTCGTGAATGAGTCAGGGACATATAGCTGTACGTTGCAGCCTTGCAGGATTTGCAAATTTTGACAATATGGATGGAGAAGGGGTGCCGTTCATTATTATAGACCACTCTCCATTAATCTCTCTGGTTTCTTGTCCAAATTAAGTTTAATATTCTGAAACCATTTGATCTCTTGCAGTAACTTTTCTTCAGGCAGTTTCCTTTGGATATGCAGCATTCAGAATCCTATGGAGTAGTCTACTTTAATTTGTTTCTGATAATTTTGTGTTGTAAGGGTGAAGATGCATGTGCATATTTAATTTGAAGTAGCTAGGAAGAATGAGTAGTGTATCCTAATGTACCTATTTTGCTATAGTGCTCATAGTCAAATTTGTGAGAAAATCAAGGTGATGAAATTGGTTTTAAACAAGTGATTTGAGATTTATTGGTCTAACTATATTATATGAAAACAAGTAATAATTTAAAATTTAATGACGGAAATAAAATTTAGCCCCGATTCTCTAAACTCAAACCCGAGGTTCAAGTTAATAGAAAATAATAATTGACCGTTGAGATTGTTCGGAGCTCAACTAAGTATATCTAACAACTATATCATTTGGAGTATACCAGCCATTACCATATATATATATATATATATATATATATATATATATATATATATATATATATATATATATATATGGGGAGTTCTACGGTACCCATGGTGAAATCCGGGGTACCGCATACCTTGAGTAAGAAAACGCTATCCATAACTTGAATTGACTGATGTTTCGGACATGATACTATACTTTACCCTTAAAGATCAAAATCTAGTTCTTAATTCTCTAAATCTTATACCCCAAGATCAATTTAATTAGAAATAATAATCGACGGTTATGATTCGTCCAAATATAGGCAAAAAAATAATGCACCATCTTAGGGTTTATAGTTTATGATTTAGATAATTAGGACCTAGGGTTCACTCATTAAGGGTTAGGGTATAGTACCATACCCAAAAATCATACTAATTCGAGGTCTAGATAGTGTTTTCATACTCAAGATATGCGGTACCCCGGATTTCACCCGGGGTACCGTAGAAGGCACCATATGTGTATATATATATATATATATATATATATATATAACTCATTAAACCTACCCCGCTGAACGGTATATTCTTTCACCTCCCCCCTCTTCAATAGTTTGCGGACTTATCTTTCTTTCTTTCATTTGTGCTTCAGTTCTCCTCACGGGGACCAAAGATAAACCGCAATCCTCCTCTTTCTCCTCCTGGCCAATCGTCAAGATCGAAATCGAGTCGATCAGATCAACTTCATGAGTTTGTTTAGATTCTGGCCAGTTCTAGTTTGATTATCGAGAGCCGGAAAACATAACTCCTTATGGAACGGATCGTCGACAAAAAAATTTAAGTTAGCTTGGAAGCAGTTCACTCCTGTGAGACCACCAGTTTTCCTCGTTTTTCATAATCTTTGTTGAATGGTAATTAGCAATCCAGCTATCACTAAGCACTACACATGGTAGGCCTCAACGTGATCAACAATGGAGTAAGTATTATTGTCAACTTATGATAAATTTGAAGATCAAATAGAACATGAGATGTCATAACAACCAAATTGGTGTTATTTGTCCTTCATATTTGGGTTTCTTTCGTGCTAATTCGTATGCATAATCAGAAGAATATCATCAGTTGCATCTCTATTTCATTCCTATTTGATTATGATGTGATTTTAGAGTGCTTCAGATGATATATGCGAATTAGGTACGAAAAAGGGCACAAGTGTAGCAAAATGGACAGGAAGCTAATGATCACGACATTAAGGGGAAGATCTCGGTCGAGAAAATAGGCCACAAAACTTGAGTGAAGATCGCGGTCTGGGAACCCAAGATCCCGGTCGCGAATCTGGAGGTCTTGTGCGCGAACTTCATGAAGAAGCCAACCGAGAAGGAACTGAGAGTTTAGCCAATCTGATCACAGTCACCGTCTTCGTTGACCACGAGGAAGTTCACGACCGCGACCATGAAGTTAGCCCGTGAACTCCCAGCAAACCAAAACGACCACGCTTGAAGATTCCGGTCTCTGAGGAGAAGATCACGACCGCGTTCTCCCCCTGCTCAGCCGCGAACTTGTCCGCCCCTTGAAGTATATAAATAGAGGACCTCTTCCCCATTTTAAGAGAGTTTATTTTGAGATAGAAATTTATGGTTTAGAGAGAGAGAAGAGAGAGAAGCTAAAGGAAGGAGAAGAGGAGAAGCTAGAAGAGAGGAGCCATCTTCCTCAACATCAACTCTTCCCCAAATTCTTCTATGTATCTTCCTCCCTCCTTTATGGAGTATTCTCTTAAGGTACTAGGGGTTCTAAATTCCAAATACTAGTTTTAGAGCTATTAAGTAATTGATGAATATTTTAGGGTTTTGAATGAATGTGTTTGTCTAGTTGATTTTAATGCTTCTCTAGCTTAATTGTACTTGAACTTCTAGCTGGGTATGGTGTTTTAGGGTTAGACATGTATGCTCCATCTTGCATATTAGGGTGAGATGATTGAATTGGATCTTGTGATGGACGAGGCGACCATACCCCTGCCATAAGAATGCCTTCCTAGATGGAACCTTGGATGAAACCTCAGTGTAAACGGTGTTAGTACTCATTGAAAGGAGCTATGTTCTTAAAGCCCTAGATATGATAGCCTAGACCGAGGTTACTGACATGGGTTTATGGAAGGCATACTCGGAGGCGTGTGGATAATCATGAAGTCACACGGAAAAGAGCTCGCTCACCACGTTCACTTAACCCAACTTATTTAGACATTGCATGATAGACGTAGGCTAGGGTGAGGGATAGTTTCCTGAAGCACTTGCTTTTAACCTTGTTTGTTCTCTCTAGTAGTTATTTCACTTGAATCCTCCAAGACAACTCCCTTAAGCCGATCGACTAGATAACAACAATGTGGTAAGTAGGCTAGAGTATCGGGACCCGAGTGAAAACGACCTTGATTGCCATTATATGAAAACGCCATTTTAGGTTAAACTTGGCCTAGGATGGAGTAGTTATTTAGATATGCAAACTACTAAAAATGACCTGCACTGAATGAATCGATCAAGCTTTTTGGCGCCGTTGCTAGGGACCCTCGGTGACTAGTAGAAAACCATCGAGTTGTTAATTTACCCTTTATTTCATTTTTTTTCTTTGTTTGTGTTTTTGTTATTGTCGTAGTTTTTATCGTTTTGTGTTTTGTTATCCAACTTTGTATGTCATGGGTTGTTGAGTTTGTGTCTTGTAACACTGTTGTATGGGAAGGAGGGACTCTTTGGAGATAGTACCTCTTGATACAGAAATCGAGAGAGCTCTTTGGAATCTAAGAAGAGTTGCAAGACATCAATCTCCTCAAATTGCGGATCAACAACATCAACGTCAAGTTCCACCAAGGCCTAGAACAATGGGATATTACTCAAGGCCAAGTGTGGATAATGTTCAATCACCTATTCTTCACCCACCGTTGCCGGACAACAACTATATGACAAAACCAGGAAAAATTTCTATGCTTTAAATTGCGGTTCAATTAATGGGTTGATGAGTGAAGAACCTCACGTGCATATCAAGTCATTCAACAAGTTGATGGGTGGAATTAAGATAAACAGGGTTCCTCAAGAGGCAATCCGTCTGCGGTTATTCCCGTTTACTTTAAGTGGAGCAGCAATGGTTGAATAACCATCCCCATTACTCCATCACCTTGTGGGTGGATCTATGTGACAAGTTCTTCACAAGGTATATTCGACCCTCTAAGACGACTCTAATGAGAAGCGATATTACTTTGTTTCTTCATGAGGAGGATGTGCCATTGTTCGAAGAATGGGAAAGGTTTACTTCACTTCTACTCAAATTTCCACACCACGATATTGGTGATTGGTTACAAGTGGAAAGCTTTTACAATGGTTTAACAAGGGAGTCACGAAACCTCATCAACACTGCTAGTGGAGGTGCCATTAAGAACAAGGAAGTTGGTGAACTTCAAAGACTAATTGAAGAGATGCCCTAAATAGCTACGATTGGGGTGACGAAAGAAGAGGCAAGAAAGTGAAGAAGGAAAGCTTATTGAAAATTGAAGAACCATTTTCGTGAGTAGCCCATATACAAGAACTCCCCTAGAAAATTGATCAAGTTGCATCATCTATGAACGCAGTGGAAAGCAACTCATGAAATTAGATTGGTGTGGTGACTCGAGTCACACTATGGAGGAGTGTAGGTCCATGATTGAGGCCTCACTTTAGTTTGAGAAAGCCAACTTTGTTGGAGGGAAATCACGATGGAACAACCTATATAGCTCTACATATAGTCCGGGTTGGATGAATCATCCCAACTTTCTTTGGTCTTCTCCGACGGATAGAATGCCTCCTCGATTTCAATCTCAAGCTCCTATGCATTATACTTATCCAAAGTCGAGTCAACCTTCGTACCAAGGAGCTTATCAGGTCAACCCTCCGATGGTTAAGTCTCTAAGCTTAAAGACTTGGTAGGTCAATTTGTTACACAAACCACCAAGAAGTTTGAGGCTATTAACAAATTCATAGTGAGCACTACGACCAATTTGTCAAGTTTGGAAGCGGGTCAAAGAAATCAACAAGCTTCGCTTCAAAATCTCGAAGCCCAACTAAGCTCATTGGCACAAACTCTTTCGTCAAGACCACAAGGAACTTTACCATGAAATACTGAACCTAATCCTAAAGAGGGATGTAACGCAGTAACTCTAATGAGTGGCCTACCTCTTAAGGGGGTTCCTATCTCAACACTTCCGGTAAGGGAGGCTAAAAAAGAAGTGGTGCAAGAATAAGAGATAGTTCGGGAAGAAGTGCAACCCCCTATCAAAATCAAGATTGAAGATGAAGAGAAGTCTAAGATGACTCAAGTACCTAGTCCAACATCAAAAGCTCCTTATCCTAGAAGGTTATTCGAAAGTGATTTACATCATGAATGTGCTACATGGAAAGATACTGATAGGGAAAAAGTGCACTGCTTCAATTCCTATCTCGTAGTAAACCGGAAAGTCCGGGTATCGTCTCTCAGGCACAGGTACAACCTTAAGTTCTATCAATTTTATAGAGCAAACTAAAAGTGAAAAGAATTTAATGAGACTAATTTCCAAAAGAAAATTAAAATAATCAAATTAAGAAAATAAAAAATGCCGGGAGAAATTCAATGGAAGAAAGCTCTGGGAGAAACACCGAGACTCACTACCTATCATATCCAAATTAATTCATATATTCTAATCGATTTAATCCAATTCTCTACAACCAGAATATCTCTAATGTGCTAGCTAT